TGATTTGCATAGAAATTCATTTTTCTTACATTTGTTATTACCCTGTAAGTATATATTGATCCATGAAAATTAAAAGAAAATTAAAAAAAATGCCTACTTACTGACCAACGCTGTTTTTATCAGGAATGATGCCTGAAAAACATTTTGTTTTGTTTTAGCCTAAACATTAACCCTTTCTCAAGGAGGAATGAATGATCCAGAGGTAGCAAAATATTCATAAATTTGAAATAGGCCTACAGGACCTTTTTATCAATGAAGATTATTTGATTTTAACATCTCTGTGCCTGAGTAAGAAGACTGTTGAACATTTAATCAATTTGACCTCTTTTGGGCTGAAACTCCTGGCAGATAAGATCCACATGTAATTCATAAATTTGGCTTGCATTGGACCATGGAACTTTCTTTCAAAAATTAACTGAAGTGGTTACTATGACGGACAAAAGGCATTCACAAGAGGTCAACACCAAGACTTTGATAGCTAAATAAAACCAATTTTCTAGATTAAGTTCACAAGTCATAAATGTAATACTCACTGCCTACCAAAATGCAAAATGTTCGAATGTCCTGTTGTTGTATGAATGCAGTAAAGAACAAATTAACAAGGTTACATATATTTATAAAAAAATGTACCAAGTAATGGAAAATGTCACAGAGTTGTATATAACTAGTTGTTTATGTTTATATATGTTTGCAGTATTTACATAATTGCAAGTTGTACTATTATTTCCACCAGGATTTGAACCTGGGTCTCCCACCACAGAAGTGGCAAGTGTGATGACCACTACATTATAGAAATATCTTTAGCACAACTGACCTTTTCTTTCAAGTTTTATTCCCATTTTAACATTTTAACAGGTGCAAGAAATAAGTTATTGCCAGGTGTTTATAGGGTCTGTTACAGGGATCCATTACAATATTTAGAATATGACCCTGTATTTTTTATTGCTTTACATTTTACTGTAAGAAACAGCTAGATGATTTTTTTGCAAATCACATTGTAGGTTTTATTTATCAAAACTAAAAGTTTCCCTTAACGTTGGGACGCTGATGATATTTCCCAATAATTTTTGCCAAATGCTGATGATATTTTCCCAATTCCTGCTCAGGGACCCTTTCCCAAAATAGCTGGCAAAAACCTTGACTAATTTCGTATTCCCGTGGGGTTCGTTATAATATATCTTACACTGAAGACATTTATGTCTTTTTCGTCCTGTTAATTTTGTATAAGCATGTTTTACTTTGTAGAAATATAATTTGTTTTGTCCCGTTGAATTGGGTTTAAACATGTTTAAATCAGCAAAATGTGAATTCCTGACTCGAACTGAGTGCCATATTGCGCGCTGGAGGTGAAATAAAAGTCAGCAAGTACATTTAGATTTGGGCTTGAAGGTTGTGATGTGATACAAAGAGGTCGATCAGACATTAGATGCAGTGTATATATCTAATGATGCTTTTTTTAAACTCTTGGTATCTTAGTTGAAATCAAAATAAAATGTAATCAACATACTGTATTTATATTGTTCTGTAGAATATGTTTCATAGCTTGTCAACAACACTGACTCAAAAGAATTAAATTCTCATTGTCTTTATTCTATCTTTTTAATGGGGATTATCATTGGTCATTTCAAACAAAAGATAAAAACAAGAGGCCCAGAGGCCCTGTATCGCTCACCTTTTTCTTTAAAAATGACATATAGGTAACTTCAGACCAAATTTTGTAACTAGAACACAAACATTTAACTTCTCTTAAACGGTTTTTAAGATATTGTTGATTGAAATTTGAAATTTTAATTTCAAAGCTTTAAACCGACGCTGAACTTTGACTCCGGCTAGCACTTAAAGTTGACCTTTGTCCTCATTATTGTTATAAGAATAGGATTCACAAATCTGGTCTACATAACATACCAAAGTATCATGACGTTAGACCAAATGGTTCTTAAGATATTGTTGTTTGACGTTTTTAACATACTTGACTCCTGTGACCATGAGATTAGGTCAAGGTTATTTTAATGAGGAAACTTTAAAGCATTTAATTCCAGGTACCTACTGGCCAAATAGCATGACCCTGGGCCTTAGAGAACTTGAGAGGAATATTGTTAACACTTTTAACCCATGTTTACTTTTTAACCCCAACCAGTACTTAGTTGATCTTTGACCTCATTACTGTAACTCGGGAAAATATTCGCACTGCTGGTCTTCATAACATACCCAAATATCATGACTCTTGTCCAAATGGTTCTTAGGATATTGTTTTTACCCTATTTGACCCCTGGGACCTTGACAGTAGGTCAAGGTCATTTTAATGAGGAAACGTTATAGCACTGTTTTCCATGTACCTACTAGCCAAAAATCATGACTCAGGGCTTTATGGAAATTGAGAAGAAGATTGTTAAAGCTTTTAACCCATGTTGACCTTTAACCCCACCCCCGACTAACACTTCAAGTTGACCTTTGACCTCATAACTATAATAAACAAAAAATATATATAATTCAAACTCCTCGAAGTCGATGAAATAAGACCCGGGACAAAGTACAAGGAGAAAGATATCAGGTGTTCCAGAAGGGTAAGCGTCTTCTGCTTCATCGACAACACATATCATGTGACAGAAAACAAAATACAATTTAATGCGATTTTAATACATTTATTTAGAAGATATTTCAGTCAAATAAAGAAATGTTTTAAAGGTACAATTTTGTCAATTGCATTGTTGTTTTAAACATAATTTGGAGGTATTCGCTAACAGTTATAATGCTGTATATAAATATCATTTACAATACATGTCTCGTATGTCCCTGCTTGATAATGTTTATTTGATTGAAATACTAATAAAAGTAAATGTAAAACAGTACAAAAATATTCAGATAAGTCAAAAGATTGTTGATGCAATATGGACTAGCAATCCGGAGTTACGTAGAATTTGTGGTTATTTGACAGACGGACATGTGCATCGATTACAAATCTGTTCCATAATGTTGGATTCAACTAGCTTCTCATTATTGAATTGACAACTGTGTTCATCAAATTTGACAATATTGACAAAGACGTTTAATTTGACAGAATAACAGGCATGTCGGTATAAGTAAATTCCTTGAGTGCCCATTGACTGTAAATTCATAAATAATGCAATTTATTAGTGAGGAAATGTAATCCAATGAAAACGATTGCCAATACAATAAGCATATAAGGAAGGTACCTATTTTAGTATAATTATACATATTACGAACACAAAATATGTAATAGTACAGTCTAAGCACTTCACTTTAAGTCCAAGTGCACATATCAATACAAAGGTCCCCATTAGTTTAAACGAACCTCAGGGAATATAAAATGCCTTTCTTTGCCTATTGATCTTGAATTAGGTTATATTTCAGTTCAAATATTTTTATTGATTAAACAAAAGGATTGAGCAACAGGCTTTGCCTACATAAGCGCTCTCCATGGGTTCCAGCATACTTTTGATAGTTGAAGACATTGAATACAATATTTACATAAATACATTTTATTTAAACTCATCTCTTGGCACTTGGTTACATTAATTGCGAGGTAATATACAATAATTAGACTGGATTAATATTTTCATGTTTCTGCAAAATTACATTATTTCATGTGATACATGGACTTAAGATAAAAAAAAAATACAAACTTTGAGATATTGATAATTGATATAGTTGTAAAATATATGTCAATACGAATTAAATATACCGTTATAGATATACACAGTATTCCAAATCTTATTAAACATCTGGATTAACGTCTTGACCTTGAGCCACTAAAATTTTGCTACGGCAACATGAACTAAAGCAAAACTGATACATGCATGTATGCTGATAAAATAATGTACCAGGACTTATTTGAAGTAGATATGTCTTGAGATGAGCTGGGAAATCAAATAGAAAATGAACTAAAAAAAAAACACAAAAAGAAAAAAACACAAAAAAACTAATTATATAGGAACACAAGAAAATCTCGAACACACACTCATACACTCTAACACCACACATGCTTCTACTGGCATAGGTTTGTTGGTTTATTTAATTTAGTTTATATATGTTTTAAATTAATGTGCAGTTGGGCATTAAATATGATAACAAAGTCCACTAGTTCAAAGGATACGCATATATGGCATTTTTGGTATTTCATAATAAATTATTAGTTTTTCAATAATTAAATAAATTATAACTATTGATTTGCATTACTCCATCATACCTTAAGTGTCATGACCACATAAAGTCCCTGGACATTTGCTGCCCAGTGATCAATCAACCTTGGTATATTATATATAAATATATATATAATTTTCCAATGTCAACAGAAATAATGAATTTATCTTACAGAATACAAACAATACATTAACCACATACAGCTTGAATTTTAACTTAAGGTAAAAGGATTGTGTCACCATTTCTAAGTAGAATTTCTTCAAATTTTGTAGTTATATTGCTTTGAAGTAAAGAAAATGTTCTGCCACAAAAATAATATAGGTTGTCAGAATTTTAAGGATTTTAAATGGAAATTTATGTAAAAAGGAGTGAATTTTGAAGAAAAAAATGAAAGACACAATTTTTGGCAAAATAATGTCAATAAAAATGATACTGACATAGATTAGTATTGCACTAAATATCAATTTAATAAATGCTGAAATTTTGTAAAATTAATTATCTATAAACGATTACAAATTGTCATTTTATAATAAAACCATATACACATAGTATTTGCATGTAAGAGTTATCTTTCTTGAAAAACTTCACTGTAGTAAAATAGGTAGCCGGTTTCCTGAAGTAAAGAGAAATGGACACATGTGACTCATTGATAAAAAAAACCTGTATTCATGCCTGGATTGCTTTGGAATACTTTAATATTGAGAAAACACATTGTTCCATCAATAATAAGCATGCAATATTCAGCTGTTTAATATTAAACATTATAATATGCGGAAATTGTAATACTGTCTCCCTACATTGGATTTTCAACTAGGGATGTACTTCCTATTTCCGTTTATCAATACACTCCTATGACCTTAATTAAATCTATTTGAACCGTCCTGTAGCATTAATGTATTTATTTAATTATGTTATATATGGATAAAGGGTGTGTATTTCGACTATTTCGATCCCTGTATGTTTAGGATTAAGAAAGGAATATACCTGCTGGTACTAACCGCTTTATCATAAGAGGCTACTAATGAGGATCATAAGAGGCTACTAATGAGGATCATAAGAGGCTACTAATGAGGACCATAAGAGGCTACTAATGAGGATCATAAGAGACTACTAATGAGGAAACCCCTTACAAACTTGGGAATTTATGTTTGTTATCTTTGTTGCCTAGCGCATACACACATGCACGCATGAAGGAAACGTATGATTGCAAAACCTCTGCTACATTATCATATTCTGCCCCCGTTTCTTTGCCCCTCCGTTTTTACAAAATGGAAACCACTTGACCCAAGAAACGCCCCAGAGTTATTTGGTCAAAATACTTTTATTTTAAGAAGGTTACCAGATGATCTCAAAGAGATAGTTTGCCCAACTGTGTCGCAACATCACTTTAGGTCAAAAATTTAGAATATACTGTATCTGCTGTTACCTATTGTTACCTGCTGCATGATTCGTGAAAGGCGTAATTGGGTAATTGTTTTCTGTCCACTTGGAAAAGTTACAAAAGCGACAAATACATATAAATTCTGCATCCATAACAACATTTAGCATGTATATTTTTTCTATTCTTACAACTGTTTCATTTCTTTCCTCCTCATCTGGCAATACAATAATTTTGGACTTGGTGTTGAGCGTTCGCTAAAGAAAGACAGTACTTATTGCTCGCAGCCTTACATTACACACACGGAGGCACGTCTTTCAGTGACTACAGCTGTTAAAAGGACACGTAACTCAATAATAAACATTACAACTCGATGTAATGCAAAGGAATTATCCAAAGTTCCAAATAAGGTGCAAATATAGTGATGACGTCACAAAGCAATATCTCATCAAATTTAGATAACTTTTTAAGACTTTAACATAACACTATCCAGAAATACCCTTTTTAGTGGAGTCCAAAACGTGGTTTTAATTAGATAAAAACTCTATGTAAGGTTCTAGATAGCTTGAGACGCCAATATATTTTCAATGTCAAATTTCCTTTGCTTACAAGATAAGATGTACGACACATTAGTCAACTATTGGAAACTTTTTACCCTTTCTCCTTTCGTCCTCGATGGCAGGGAACTCTTGGATTGGGTTGTTTTCAAATAGATCCTTTATTGTGGTAATAAGATGGCCTCTCATGTGTTGCTGGTTATAAACAACACTTTCTAACCTATTACCGTTTCCAAGGCAAATATCGATCAAGCAAGCAATAACGTACAATCCGCAATCGATATTCCCAATTTGGGTTGAAACGGCTTTTTCCTCTATTGCGTTTTGTGCTTCCTCAGACCCGAGAAGGTGTTTGAGGATTTCTTGAACACTTTTGCGCAATGTCGGAGAACGCTCTCGAAGACTATCAATTAGCTGGAATTTATTTCGATCACCAATATTGGTTAGCAGCAAGAAGTGACCGATACCTTTATCCTTATTGCTTTTCTTGTTTTTAGATGATTCACCGGATGATTTTGGTGGCACAAAAATCACTTGAGCAAACTCCCTTGATATATTCAACGGCTTAACACCATTTTTATCAAAAAATTTGCACATATCGGTAAATATGTTATATTTTGGAAAACGTCTGCTAATGAGTTTTAGAATGATATGCATGCTGTCATCTGTAGCACATGCATTTGGTTGCTTCAATTCCTTGATTATCGTGTCAATTTCTTCCTGGAAATACAAAGACGCATTGTTACTAAGGTGAACACTACCAGATAGATTGAGAACATTTTAATGGTAAACGAGGGTTTGCGTTTTATTTTCACCTTATTTGCCTTTTCGATGAGGACGAATTTAAAAGCAGGACAAAAACACTTACTGTACAAAAGTAGCAGTACCTTTATAATATACACAGTATGTGGGTAATTAAGCATTAAACAAATTCTTTTTTATATGTCAAAGGGCAAAAAATACATGACAATATGTCGGTCGATTTTGTCGCTTTCTGTTCTATGTAGATTGTTGTTTGATAAATATATATAAATCAAGAAATAATGATGGAATTTTATAAAGAGGTTGAGAAAATAAACGTAGACCGATGAATATGTTTTTAGAGCGTTGCTAGTGCATGGAATGTTGGAAAATAATGCATTTATACGCACAGTATATCGTCCAATAAAACATGGTTATTATCCAGTAGAAGTTTTCGTCATAACAAAGACATGAAAGTATACACATTAGATAATAGTTAATGTTGTTTTGAACTATTATAATATTAAACAATATGTTTGGTTTTTACGTCATGATGGTTCCTCCTTACTCTTAAAGTTAAATGGACAGATTCGATCAGTTCCGATTTTGAATGTACACTAAGTGCAACTAAAAAAACTCTTTGATCTATGCATCCATATCGCCAGTTTGAGATGGAAGGTTTATTAATTATAGAATATATAATTGAAATGTCAACAAATGGCATGTGGTATTTGTTTTTACTCAATACCAACGGGTTGTGACTTGTATATCAAAACTAAACAATGATTGAGCGATGCTGTTACATGTATTGTGCATTGCACTTAATGTGTGATATATAACCTTGATGTGATGGCATGGTTTTGTATGCATTTTAGGCTCTTTGCACAGACGTCATGTATATACCACCCTTTATTTATTCATCTATGTGCACATTGAGATGATTTTCCTCTTGCTTAATATACAATGGTGATTGTAAGCCATTTTTGTTTCACATTTATTACTAATACTATTATCCGTTTATTGTAAAGCGCTTTAAAGAAATTTTACAAATTGTAAAGGGAGCTACATAAATGTGGTATTTTAGTATTATTGTTCTGATCGTCAACAGTTATCAACTCGAGGATGTTTCTGTTTAATATGTGTCCCTTATCTGCTGTATGTCTTAGTTAAAGATAAGTATTGCAGAAATCAAGTAAACGGATGGGAAACAAATTACATTAGAACCCTCCGAAAAATACATTTACATAAATTGAGAATTTTACCACGTTTGCGATTTAAGGACACTTTTCATTGGTAAATAACCATAAACCATACGCATGGATATTATTTTCAAACAGACCAACACTCTTCCAAACACCTTCCCCCAAAAATATAAGCAAGTGAGCCGCGGGACTGGTTTCCTTTGTGAAATGATGGTTCACATTTGTACATGCGTTTAATTTTGTACGTATTTAAAAAATAAATAGCGGACAAATAAAAATGTTTCTTTTTCACGCCTAGATCTACTTAAAACCTATCAAGCTTACCGCGAAGGTGACCTGAAACAGTGCTTGTAAATCTGTCAAATTCTGATTTCGTTTGTTGACGAGACATGTCGATAGATTGGTGGATTTGATAGATCTAATGGCGATTGAAAAAAGAAAAATCCTCTATTATATATCCAGGTTAAAAAGACAAAATAGAACAACTGCCCTAAGGATCAGAAATGGTACAACGACGCTGCCGGTTTTGTAATGAAGACATGGACAACATGAGATAAGTATTGGCCCGCGCAAAAAGGACATCCTTATTTACATGGTTAAATTATCTAGGTCCTAGATCACTTTGTTTATCATAGGCGTATTGACACTGAATTAGACACGCAAAATATTTTCATTACATTTTACTTTAGAATACATATATTTGTAAACTAAGGTGGAAAATATAACTCGGGTTTTGGAAATAATCAACTGAGGCCACAGGCGGCCTTCGTTATTTATTTATTTTTTCTATTATTTTCTCACCCTTGTTATTTATTCCACAAGTGTATAGGTACATACATTGATTGTTCCTTGCAGAACAAAAGCATAGCATTTGTATCGGAGAAACTTCAAAGCAAACAACGATACAATATAATTTCTCAAAGAGAAAGAAGCCTATTGGAATGTGCAATGCCCTTATATAGGGCCCAAATGATAATAAAAAAATGATTTATTTCTTAACTGAATCTGGTGTTTACTTTGCTTTGTTATTGTTGTTGTTGTTGTTTTTGTGTGTGTATATGTTCCGTTTCTTATATTTGTGGAGGGTATATTAAAGGGGTGCAACATCCTCTAAATTCCAGGGGTTACGCTCATTGACGTTCCATGCATCCCAGGAATATTGTTAAGGTAAAATCGAAATCACTCAGTTAGGTATTTGATTGGTTTAAAAATAAACCTGAACAGTCGCAAGTCTGATACCTGTCTATTGAAGACTATAGAGGAGCGACACCCGACGCCAACGCTAGTCAAATTTACCGTTCTGCTGCAGCGTATTTTTCATGTACATCATGATCAATCTAGTCTATTAGTATATTCCACAAAGCCTGCGAATTAGGGATGACATTTTCCGGAAGTACAGCGAACACAGATGAGCGTAACGATAGGAATTTGTAAAATGATGTTTTATCACGATAGATCACATACAACATGAGGCATCAAAATCATATATGTTTGACAAAAAGACGTTGTAAACATGAAATACTTTGAAATAAAAAACTTACTTTCTGCGGATAGTTTCCGTTGGTGTCTGTAATAGAACCATTCATTAATATTAATACCGAAAAAAATCTAATTTATTACACAAACGATAAACCTTAAAGCAAATCTCTTAAAAGATCTTACTTTAAATACACATATGTATTTAATATATAGAGGATTTCCAACAGTGTCTTCAGTAATACCATATGTATTTCACGACTGTGGTTAATATTTTGATGTATTTTACGGATACGCAGCACGTGTGAACGATATCCAAATATTAGCCACATTCATGATATAATTTCCATTATATAAGTGTACAAGAGTATTGTTTTTCCACATTTCATGTACTGTTCAACTGTCTGGAGTGAACCTAGCCACAAATTATACATGGATAAGATTTTGAAATTACTATAAAGAGCAGTAAGGAAACTATTAAATCGTAGGGGCATTCTTACTCCATCCAAGTTTCCTGTTTAGAAATTAAAACAAATGCCATTTACATATTTTATGTTTTTAGAGACATGGTTTTTCATATACAACTCTTCACTTTGAATTCCCAGGTAATTAATTCAATATGTTATCATATGTAAACAAAGTTAATGGAACTACAAATGCTTCTGTAACAAAGCAACTGCATGTTCCAACTGTTGGAACCAACTATCTTAAGCGATCGTTTGTATATACTTGTTCAGTTTATGGAACGAAACAAATAATCCCGTTAGAGACTCATGTAATGCCAGGGCCTTTAAAACCAGTTACTTCACAAAATTCCAACTATATTTGTTTTATGTGTACTACAACGAGTCATTAGTTTTAAACTCAAAACATTATTCAAATTTATCTTATGAATAGTTTATCTGTGAATGTTTCCCTGATATTGATAGCATATGTGTTATGATTATTAATTATGTGTGTGTCGTAATACTAGCTAACTACGTTTTCTTGTTTACATTAATGCGACCCGCTACCTTCGTGCGATAGTTTCTTACATCTTGTATCTAGTAAAAGTCAAATGTCTTTTGATAATATTCTTATAACATACATTTTACACCACCTCCTTCATTGTCACCTTTTGATATATACTATATTAGTGTACAGTCATTTATCTTTCATCATATAAGCATTGTTTGTGTATCCGACTATGATAGTGCTTTAACCATATCCATAAGCATATAGGCGTTCACGTAATTAATATATTCTTTAGGATTACTAGTTTTAAGTTCCCATGATTGTGATGTTACCGTATACGGCATTTTTCTACTGTTCTCTTGTTATCTAAAACTGTTGTCATACTTGTATATTTGTATCGATGCATAGCCATATTGTAAACTAGACGTTGTCTTGACATGTAACCCTGGATAAATAATACATTATTATTATTATTATTATTATTATGTGCATAATCGTTTACCACAATAAGACCTCTTAGCCTGATTATCAAACAAACGCTACACGAAATAGCATAACACACTTAGTTCAATTTTAATCCTTATAGATTTAATTATCAAAAACAGATATCAAACATAAGTCATGAATTGTAAAATGCGAAGAAGAAAAAATGTAAGCGTACAAGACGTTTAGGTAATTATGAAAAGCATAAAATTCCACCATAATCAAAGACAGTTACCATCTGATGTAGCACCGCCTTCCGGTTGTGGCCGCCACATAGCCGCCACATCGTGAGGTTCTGATGAAGTGGCGTTCGAGACAGGATCGTCGTCACTTTGATCACTTGTACTTGTCTCGTTATTAACACCGGGAGGCATGTCCACATTTTCGTACGGTCGTGCAGTCTGGTCCACCGGGTCTACATTTTAAGCATATGACAGTAACGGACACGTTGTTTGACGGACACCTATGTTTCTCGTTCAATATATTTTCAGACAGACTCAAAGAACTCTATTGTTCTTTTCAGTCTCTAGAATGTAAGCCTTATGTCATGATTGATAGTTAAAACGGTTTGTCTAAAACAATCACAAGAAATACGAAGGTTTTTCCGTGACACTGGTAACAACAATATAACGTCCTTCATGGCATGACACGAAAGGTATAAAGGAAAAGAGACATGTCTCATGTATACAACAGTTTTGAACAATTAACATAAAAATGTCAGATCAAAACACTGCCTGTTTTATATTTAAAGCACACCAATTGTTCCAAAAGAAGATTTTGCTATGCATACATACACAACCATGTAACTTATAGTTAATGTAATTAGGTAAACGTAGATCGAAATACATACCAAGCATGACATGAACTTGTTCGTTTGTGGTATTTATTGAATAAATAAAAAAGGGGAATGCTTGTTGATGACGTCTTACGAACAGACTGACATTATTGTAAGGATAACTATGTACTCGGAGCCCATTTGCTATATTTTTTCGGCAGGCATACAAAGTTGAACCCCCATAAAACACCAGCGTTTAAAGATGCTTTAAAAGACTGCTCACGTTTTGAACTATTGGTACATGTAGTACCAGTCATTATGTTTCTCGGTAATTCAAGGAATGAACGCAGGGTGCAGGTTATCAACTATTTGATCTAAGACACGGTGAAATTATTTGAAGTTAGATATATTTACCATTGGAACTTGGTAAATAAAGGCTCCAGTCAATCATATCCGTTGCACTGGGAACAACAGTATGACGCCCGTCATTGCACGGCACTGAAGGTATAAAGAAAAATAGACATGTCACATGAATACAACAGTCTTCGACTATTAATGTAAAAATGTCAGATCAAAACACTGGCCTTTTTGTCTTTTAAGCAAACCAATTGCTCCAAAAGAAGTTTATGCTATGTATGCATACACAATTATGTAACACATAGTTAATGTAATTAGGTAAACGTAGATCGAAATACATACCAAGCATGACATGAACTTGTTCGTTTGTGGTATTTATTGAATAAATAAAAAAGGGGAATGCTTGTTGATGACGTCTTACGAACAGACTGACATTATTGTAAGGATAACTATGTACTCGGAGCCCATTTGCTATATTTTTTCGGCAGGCATACAAAGTTGAACCCCCATAAAACACCAGCGTTTAAAGATGCTTTAAAAGACTGCTCACGTTTTGAACTATTGGTACATGTAGTACCAGTCATTATGTTTCTCGGTAATTCAAGGAATGAACGCAGGGTGCAGGTTATCAACTATTTGATCTAAGACACGGTGAAATTATTTGAAGTTAGATATATTTACCATTGGAACTTGGTAAATAAAGGCTCCAGTCAATCATATCCGTTGCACTGGGAACAACAGTATGACGCCCGTCATTGCACGGCACTGAAGGTATAAAGAAAAATAGACATGTCACATGAATACAACAGTCTTCGACTATTAATGTAAAAATGTCAGATCAAAACACTGGCCTTTTTGTCTTTTAAGCAAACCAATTGCTCCAAAAGAAGTTTATGCTATGTATGCATACACAATTATGTAACACATAGTTAATGTAATTAGGTAAACGTAGATCGAAATACATACCAAGCATGACATGAACTTGTTCGTTTGTGGTATTTATTGAATAAATAAAAAAGGGGAATGCTTGTTGATGACGTCTTACGAACAGACTGACATTATTGTAAGGATAACTATGTACTCGGAGCCCATTTGCTATATTTTTTCGGCAGGCATACAAAGTTGAACCCCCATAAAACACCAGCGTTTAAAGATGCTTTAAAAGACTGCTCACGTTTTGAACTATTGGTACATGTAGTACCAGTCATTATGTTTCTCGGTAATTCAAGGAATGAACGCAGGGTGCAGGTTATCAACTATTTGATCTAAGACACGGTGAAATTATTTGAAGTTAGATATATTTACCATTGGAACTTGGTAAATAAAGGCTCCAGTCAATCATATCCGTTGCACTGGGAACAACAGTATGACGCCCGTCATTGCACGGCACTGAAGGTATAAAGAAAAATAGACATGTCACATGAATACAACAGTCTTCGACTATTAATGTAAAAATGTCAGATCAAAACACTGGCCTTTTTGTCTTTTAAGCAAACCAATTACTCCAAAAGAAGTTTATGCTATGTATGCATACACAATTATGTAACACATAGTCAATGTTATGAGTTAAACGTAGGTCGAAATACATACAAATCATCAAATTTAACATGAATTCGTCGCGATGTCATACTGTATGGTCATTATCAAATCATTGATGATTTTTCTGAACCAAATGTTTGGATATCTAGCCATAGACTAACAAAACCATACATATCAAAGTTCACTTTTGGGCATTGTTTAGTAGCTCTTAAACATAGTTCCTGACCTTTCACTTCTAACGAGGTATGTCAAACATATGTGTATAACCTGTAAGAAGGTAAGTTTACATAAGAGACACATTTCCTTCTTAAGGTTTTGTTTTCCGTTAAAAAGTAAATGTATAACAAATACCCGAAACAGAGTCATATGGTCAAGAAATGCAGGGAGAAAACAACGAACGAAGGTGGTTTATACAGTCGTTCCCTAAGAACACTTTAGAAGCAGTATAATTTCGTATCAAATTAACAATATAATAAACAAAAACTGGACATAAGGATATTTTGAATAAGCATAAGTTTTACGGGATACGTCAAAAAAAGAAAGTAATAATAGGATGATTCCATGACAATTGGGGAGAAAGAAATCTAGATAAAGTAACGTTTTAATGGCATGTTTAAGAACACAACTTCATCACTTATAACACATAGATCAATATTTACATAAAAGTTAAAATAAAGCATATATATAACTATTGATACAAGTACCGATATGTATCAAGGAAGAATTTCCATTACAATGTTAAAATTAATCAAATCAGAGGGACTAAGAACTATTTTCTCGAATTTACTTAAGTTGAATTCTAAATCACATTCATAGATACCCACAAGCATGCATACTTACATGTCTGGCGAGGCTGTGTGTCACGCTGTGAAGCCTGCACGGATGATTGCTTATTCTGTGCAATTGCCTGTCCTGCCATCTGATCGACGTTTCCTTTTTCTTGGTACTGTCGTGTTTGGTCATATAGTATTGTCTTTGCATCATGTTGACCTCTTTGATGTTGATGTGGATCACTTGTAGCTAGGATGCGCTGTGTGGGGATGTGGGGCTGTGGTGTGAGTAACTGTCCATTAGGGGCACGATGTGGATCACGTGTGGCTGGGGTGCGTTGTATGGGTGTGTGGGGCTGTGATGTGAGTAACTGTCCATTAGGGCCACGATGTGGATCACGTGTGGCTGGGGTGCGCTGTGTGTGTGTGTGTAGCTGTAGTGTGAGTAACTGTCCATTAGGGGCACGATGTGGATCACGTGTGTCTGGGGTGCGCTGTGTGAGTGTGTGTAGCTGTAGTGTGAGTAGCTGTCCATTAGGATCATGATGTGGAGCACGTGTGGCTGGGGCGCGCTGTGTGGCGGTGGGGGGCTGTGGTGTGAGTAACTGTCCATAAGGGGCACGATGTGGATCACGTGTGGCTGGGGTGCGTTGTGTGGCGGTGGGGGGCTGTGATGTGAGAAACTGTTCTTTAGGGGCACGATGTGGATCACTTGTGGCTGGGGTTGGCTGTGTGGCGGTGTAGGGCTGTGGTGTGAGTAA